TCCTGGGAGAAGAGAGCTATGGGGGGGACCATCACGACAGTGCCCGCTGCCCAGCTCATTCTTCCCTGAGTCCCGCACTAGTGCCCGCTGTCCTCTGTCCTGTCTCATGCAAGACCCTGCAGGCCCGACGTGGGAGTCCCTGGGGGGCTCAGTAGCCTCCCCAAGGTCACGTTCTCATCCAGCCCAAGCAGGGATGCCCAGCTTGGCCGCCATCCCCTCCACCAGAGCTCTGCTTCCTGGCAGCTGTTTCCCACCCATCTCCTCTCCCAGTCTTAGGTGGATTTGCGAAACGGGGTGGTCAGGTGGGGGCCCATCAGGGTATATACCTCTGCTTTCTTTGTTCCCAAGGCTAATTCTTTCTCCTTTCAGAAGGGACGCAGGTTGCAGATGGAGGGACGGAGATATTACTGCGTCATTTTTAAGATAGCGAATGGTCAGAGGAAAGAAACGGAGCCGAGATTGGGGTGGGAGAACAGGACAAGGCCAAGGCAAAACCAGGAGCGAGCATGATTAACAGTGGGACTGGCAGCCAGCACTGGAGCCCCACACGCTCCCCCCTCTCCCCTGCCGACCACCTCTGGGGCCTGGCGTGGTCACGCTGCCCCCACTCTGAAATCTCCCCCCTCCTCGTCCTTTACAGGTTATTAACTCTGTCAACCCTCACTACGTGTTGGTCTTTAACTTGGTGGTGGTCTCTGGTCTCCTGGTAGCACAAAGCCCAGAACACAGTGGGCAGGCACTGGTTATGGAGCCAGAAGCCTGAGCCAGAGTTAGAGTGGAGTTCAAAGAATCTGCTGCATTGCCTCACCCCTGTGTCCGTGCAGGGACCTTGTCTTCCTAGTGTGTCCGGTTAGGGCCGTGGGTTTCTAGGACACGGGTGTGCTGCTGGGCCTGGCCCTACCCTGACCATGTAGCATAGGCACCAAGTTTCTGCTGCTGTTTCCAAGGGGATTGGCATCTGCTGTCAGCCTGGTTGCTTTTTTCCTAGGCCCTCAGCTAAGGAAACACTGGGGGTCTCAGTGTTTCCTGAGCATCATTCAGTATCCCTGCTTCTGTGTCAGGTGTTCTCAAAGGCGCACCTACAGGCACCGGGGACCTGCTCGGCTGGTAGCCCACCCTGTGCTGAAAAGCCCTCTAATCTCCCTTTCTGGTTGGTTTCAGGAGTGTCTGAATGCATCATCATGGGGATCCCCATGAACATTGGAACTGGGCTCTTCAAGCTGCTGCACAAAGCTGACAGGGACCCAAGCCCTCCCAGGAGGCCCCTGATCTTCGACACGAACGAATTCCATATCCCCCTTGTCACATAGTCCAGGGAAGAAGGGACCATTCGTGACCTCGGCTCCTTGTCCCATCTGGAAAGGGTCGAGACTGGCGGCTGCTCTGGAGAGCTTGGGCTTCCTGGGACAGACCCCGACATCCCGGCCGTGCTGGTAGTCAGAGAAGGCCCCTGGTCCCCAGGAGCGGCTCCCCCGTGGCCCTGATCACACCACAGTGCCCGGTTGGGAGAACTGAAGCTTAATCTGTTTGAAACCCGGGACTGGCGAGGAGGCCCCGGCCAGGCATCGCTGTCCCTCTCACCTCACCCATCCAACCACTGGCCCTCGGGAGTTTCATGTCATGACCCAGCGCCAGCTGTAAGCCTCGTGGCCACGGGCCGCTGTCATTCCTGTTCCTCACGGCCAAGGTTCCTGGTCTTTCTGTTCCTCAGCCATGCTAGATTCTCTCAGCGTGGCCTCGTGTAAATGTTATCACTATTATTTATTTGTTCAGTTCACGGACTCTTGTTATTTGTTGTTATTTTGGCTTTACTTTCAAAACCAAGAAGCCAGCGTTAAAGTATCACGGAAAAACTGGTCAAGCAAATGGGACTGACTAGGATTTGTAACCAAGTTGAAACTGTTAGGAGGCCCAGGCTACTCTGAAACATCTTTTACAGACACCCCTGGCCACTCCTTATTTGTGTCTACCTCTGACTTGTGACAGGCGTCAGACCCTCCTTCGTGGTCCATAGAAGCCTTGCCAGAGTTTGGAGCCCACTTGGGGACCGTCAGTGTACATGGAGGTGATGCGTGAGGCTGCTCCGGGCCCCTGCACTGCCTGGGTGGTGACCACACCCCCTGAGGGGTGTTCGCATGTGCCCTGCCTGCCACTTCCTAAGTGCAAGCGGCGCAGGCGCAGAGCTAGGGCCTAAAAAGTGCCCCGGGGGCAGCAGTGGGATAGGGCCCCCCTGGGTAGAGGCAGGCATCCTCCTCACATCCAGGTAAGGGGTGAAAGGGCCACCCCAGTGGGAAGGGAGGAAGACCTGGGGTGGGGGTGGGGTGTCCGAGCTAGCGGGTGCCCCGTTTGGAGCTAGCAGGCTGCTCAAAGGGGAAATGGTAACAGTCGAAAGCACCTGTCAGGCTGGGAGGAGAGCCAGCAGGGTGTCTCAGGAAAACCCACGTTTGACTGCCCTCTCGGTGTGTCGCTGGTGACTTCATCAGCACTGGTGGGTTTTCCCAGGCTTGAGATGGGGTTTTGAGCGAGAGAGGAAAGAAATGTACACAGCATGTCTCAGAGAGCAGATGGTTTTACTGCAGCAGACCGTGGTGCTTTGCATTGAATTAGCCCCTCAGGATTGGGCCAGAGTCACGGAAGAGAAATGATGATGGCCGCAGCTCTCTACTCCCTCTGCAGAGCCTTCCATGAAGCCTGCCCTCCCTCCCCGCACTGTCCAGAGCCGAGTCCCACGGACCTGGCTCTTCCCTCCTCACCAGGGGCTTGGGAAACCAAGGCTGCTTAGCTGGGAGTGAGATGACAGTGAAACGTGGGGCTTTGACCCTGCTTTCTGGCTCCATGGATATGAGAAGGGCTACTTGTGAAGTGAAGTAGCCAATTTCTCTCATTGTGTTCATCCCCTGGAAGAATCAGCAGCCCAAACTGTGTTTTTCACACTCTTTTCTGTTGAGCTTTTCTAATTTCCTACCTTCTGAAGATAGTGCCATTTTATTTAAATCAGTATTTGGGGGTGAAGAAGTCATGTTGAAGCAGACTTTTTTTGAAAGTGCTCCCGTGTTTCGAAAGTAGTGGAGCAGTCACTTCCGGTTATACAGACAGCAAGTACATGCCCGATATGCAAGCAGGACACAGTTACTGGGGAAGAGTGACAAAGAGGTCTTCAGTTGACACAGCCTTAAATCTCCCAAGATTTTCAGGGCGTCTGGCTGGCTCAGTTGAGCATCCAGCTCTGACTCAGGTCTTGGTCTCACGGTTCGTGAGTTCAGGCCCCACATTGGGCTCTGCACCGTCAGCAAGGAGCCTTCTTTGGATCCTCTTTCGCCCCCTCTCTCTGCCCCTGCCCTGCTTATGCTCACTCTCTACAAAACGAACCTTTAGAAAAGAAAACCTCCAGGATTTTCTCTTCTGCCATAAGACGACCACAGTGGGCATCGCAGGGCTGAAACGGCACTTCCGTGAAGCTGTCAGGCCCCGGCCCTGCTGGCCTCCCTTGCACCAGCTCTGGTTTATGGTCCACGGCGGCCCCTCCATTTCCTGGCATTCTAGCCAGAAGACGAGGGGAAAGAGAGGCATAGCACTTCCTTTAAGGAAAGTTCCGAAAAGGTGCATGACGTTTCTGTTTCCATCCCTTCCGCCAGAACTAACCAAACCCAGCTCCAAGGGAAGCTGGCAAGTGCCTCCTGGGTTCTGGGTAGCCATGTGCCTAGTGAAGATAACGGGAGGAACAGGAAGCAGGAAGCAGTTGTGTCTCTGCCTCAGGTGTATCGGGACCTTAAGGGGGTGGGGCTGATGTTGTTAACTTGTTGTTTTGATTGACCAAGGCCCGCAAGGCCCCCTGAACCCCTCAGAACGGAATGTTGCTGGGGCAGGTGGGGCCAAGGAACCTCTTCCTCTTCAGAAGAAACAGACCGAGACCCTGACCCCTCCACTACCTCTATTTTTTTCCCCTTCTGGCAAATTTTACACCTGGCAGTTTTTTGGGTTTTGGGCTTGCTTTTTTTGTTTTGTTTTTTAATAAACTGGCATTGAAAATAGACCACATTCCCTTAGCAGGCTATTCAAACCTTCTGGGCTCGTGGAGAACGTAACTCGAACATTCATTCAATAACCCTGACGATTGCTCGCCTGCTACCAGGGCTGGGTGGAGAGTGGGCAAAACTCCCGTGGCCCCTTACCTTGTCGACTTAATTTAAGGACAGCACTCTCCAGGAGAAATGTGTGTGACTTTAAATTTTCTAGTGTCCTTACATGTTTTTTTAAATGGTAAGCTTAATTATATTTAACTCAACACATCCAAAATAAATATTCTTCTTTATGTAGTCAATATACAAATTATGAGATATTTTACACTCTTCATACTGAGTTTTCAAAATCCAGTGTATGGTTTTTTGTTGTTGTTGTTTTAATGTTTACTTATTTTTGAGAGAGAGAGCAGGGGAGAGGAAGAGAAAGAGGGAGACAGAGGATCCGGAGCAGGCCCCAAGGTGTCGGCACGGAGCCCAACGCAGGGCTCGAACTCACCAAACTGCTAGATCATGACTTGAGCTGAAGTTGGACACTTAACTGAGCCACCCGGACACCCCACAATCTACGGTATGTTTTATACTTGACAACACATTTCAAGTTCCACGTGTGCAATAGCCACAGGTGGCTGGTGGCTATCGTATTAAGACTGGAAAGCATGGGTTAGTGGAGGAGACCATAAACCATGCAATCACATGCTGTGCTCAGCCAGGGAAGGGCTACAGGGATGGAGAAGAATGCTGAGCCCTGCCCTGGCTGGTGCTGTGACAAGATGGGATGAGAAGAGCAAGGGTATGGGCTCCAGGAAGAGGTACTGGTACACAGGGAGGCCCTGTGGAAGGGGAGCAAGGGCCAAGGGCCACCAGCGAGAGACCACTGGCATCTTCTCTAGAAAGTGGTATCTGGGCTGAACCCAGGCCCAGGGAGTTTCCACCACCTTCTGTACCTTCTGAGGCTGGCCACTCGGCTCCCCCACTTACTGTTCAAGGAACTTTTTGGTGAACATCTCTCTTGGGGCTTGAACTGTCCAGTACTCGTTTTCTGTGGCCTCCTCACCCGGCCGCAAACCCAAGTCCCATTAGAAGGTGGATGATCCACGTTCTGAAAAGGCAGAGGGAGCCTAGTGTAGAAAGACCGGGCCTCACGGCCTCCTTCAGAAGCTTTTTGGCACCGAGTTCACGCTGTGTTCACACTGTGCCTGGGGCCTGTCCTTCCATACTCCTTTCCTGGAGGAGGGATTGCCTCCGGGGGGGGTTCAGGGGTGAGAAGAATCCTGCCCCTGTCCCCTGCAGTCACTCCACCACCAAACAACAGGCCTGACCAATCCACCACATACACGTCGGGGAGCACATCATAACCAACCTGGCATGAGGAATAAAATAATCCAGACTCCCAGCTGGACTATACCGGCCTCCCAGGTGCTCAGGGCAAGCGGTGTAGTCAGCCTTCGGTAAGACAGCGCTCAGGCCCCGTGTGAATTCAAGAGTCCCCGAAAGATCCACTGGTCCAGCCGAAATGGTCCCTGGTCTGAGCGAGCCACGACTCGGGTTAGCAGCGCTACCTGCTTTCTCCCCTTCTCAGTTTCCCAGTCCGTAAACCACCGTCTGGCCTATATATTTTATAAATTGTGCTAATTGGGTCTCCCCCAGTAGAACGTAGGCTCCAAGAGCATGGGTTGTTCCTTTTGTTTTAATAACTTAGCACCGTGCCTGCCACATCGTGGGTGGAATAAATGCAGCGGATTCAGCCTTGAATTCCCCCTTTAGTGTTCAGCGTCAAGGAGTGAGGCCCTTGGAGCCCAGCAGCCTGGATTTATATCCCTGCTCACTTTCCAGCTTCCTCGAAGCTGCCTGGAGCTCCAAGCCCACAGGCCCATGTAAGGGTGTCCTTGCCTCAGGGTCGCCATTCAAGGACTGTCCTCTACCACTTTTCCCCAAAGGCTCAATTCCACCTTTGCCCAGAGAGGGGCCCTCGCAGCGCTGGAACTGCTAGAAGTGGCTGGTGAGCGCCTCCCCGCCTCCCACTCCTCGCTGCAGGCCTGGGCCCCAACCCTGGCCCCAAACAGAAGAGTCGGAGCCAAGCACTTCCAGCATATACCACCATGGGTGATTTATTTAAGGGTCTCCAAATAATCACTTAAGTGTCACCATGGCAACCTGAAGAGTTGCCATGGAGATTGGAGCAGGAAACGTCCCCATGGAGACCCCTGGGAGACTCTCTAGGAAATCATTACCAGGTGGATGGGGCTTGAGAAGGGGGAGCTGGGCAAATGAGGGAGCCCCACGGTTCTGTGTACTGGCAGGAGGAGGGGGCGAAAGGGCAGGGTGGGAAAGACCAGCCTGGGAAGGCAGGCAAGTTAATGATCTCCACCAAGTCTAGGGGCCCGTGTGATAAAGAACTTCTACCGTATGCGCCGAATACATCTGATGGGAAAGTCAGGAAACTAGTAACAGCGGTGGCCCCGAAGAAGGGGGTATAGGAGAGAGACATGTGTGCTCCTTTGTGTACTGTTGGACTTTCTTTTGTCATAGGTATGTAAATACTAAGCATTCCAAAATTAAAATTAGTTATTTACAGAGCATTTATTACATTAAATATACCCTCAAAACATCTCCATATGGTTAGGTATCACCCCCACTGCACAGATGGGGAACTAGGGTTCAGAAAGTGGCTCACTGTCACACAGATCATTGGGAATCCAACCCAGGGCTCTCCAGCACCCCCGAGCGCGTCTGAGTTCTCTGATCTGCCACTGGGTCGCTGAGCACCGTTAAGTGACTGTCTGGCCCCTGGACCTCGGTGTCTTCCCCTGCAATAGTTGGGCAGTGTGGACTGGATGAAAGCAAAAGTACCACTATAGCTCTGACATCCTGTGACTGGGCGCTCTTTGGAAGGGTTTCTGAGAATGGTCATCACCCCCTTTCTCTTCCTCTCCCTTTCCCTCATCCGCTCTCCAGTCCCCATCCACAGCCGTGCGCCTTCAGGGTTCTAAAGGAAACACTTCACTCAGAGTGCCAAGCCAGAGGGACCTTCAAAGAAGCTCTAGATTCCCTCTTAGCAGAGGAGGAGGGTGTGTGGCCCAAGAGAGGGAAGGTGAGCCACCAGGAAAATACAAAACCATGACATAGCTCCACACACCCATTCCGGTGGCTATCATGGAAAAACAAACAAACAAAAAAGACGAACCGGGACAAGTATTTGGAAAGATGTTGAGAAATTAAAACCTTCATACACCACCCATGGAGAGATTGGAACCTGTATATACAGCTATCAAATGGTTCAGCTCTGCCTCCGCTCAGGCTGCTACAACAAAATCCCATTGACTAGGTAGTTTATACAACAGATACTTATGGGGCACCTGGGTGGCTCAGTCAGTTAAGCATTTGACTTCGGCTCAGGTCATGATCTCATGGCTTCTGAGTTTGAGTCCCGCATCAGGCTCTGTGCTGACAGCTCAGAGCCTGGAGCCTGCTTCAGATTCTGTCTCCCTCACCTCCCCCACTCACATTCTCTCTCTCTTTCTTTCTCAAAAATAAATAAACATTAAAAAATAATAGTTAAAAAAATAAACAACACTTTTTTTAATGCTTTATTTATTTTTGAGAGAGAGATAGAGACAGCAGGGGAGGGTCAAAGATAGAGGGAGACACAGAATCTGAAGCAGGCTCCAGGCTCTGAGCTAGCTGTCAGCACAGAGCGTGACACGGGGCTCGAACCCACGAGCCGTGAGATCGTGACCTGAACTGAAGTCGGACGCTTAACCGACTAAGCCACCCAGATGCCCCGACAACAGACACTTCTTTCTCACAGTTCTGAACACTGAGAAGTCCAAGATCAAAGTGCCAGTGTATTCAGTTCTTCATGAGGGCCCATGTCCAGACAGCCACCTCCTTGAGGTGTCCTCACACGTGGAGGGATGAAGCTCAGGTGTCTCTTCTCTTCTAAGGGTGTGAATTCCATCATGGGGCTCTACCCTCATGACCTCATCTAAATCTGATTTCCTCCCCAAAGCCTCACCTCTTAATAGCATCACATTGGGGGTTGATGGTTTCAACATACGAATTTAGTGGGGTGAAGGATGCAAACATTCAGTCCATAAAAAAAAAAAAAGAAGTCTAGAAAACAGTCTCGCAGTTGCTCAATGGGTTAAACATAGGTACCACATGGCTCAGCAATTCCACACCTAGGTATACCCCCAAGAAGGTTCAAAACATGGGTTACCGGTAAAACAGGGACACAAGTGTTAACAGTACCATTCTACAAAACAGCCAAAAAGTGGAAAGGACCCACACGTCCGTCAGTGGAGGAATGGATAAGCAAAATGTGGTAGCACGTCCACACGATGGAATATTGTTTGGCCATAAAGGTGAACAAAGTATTGACATACGCTGTGGATGATCCTTGAGAATGTCATGCTAAGGGAAAGAAGCCACTCACAAAGAACCGTACAGCACTTATATGAAATGTCCAGAACAAGGGGATCTGTAAAGACAGAAAGTAAGTTAGTGCCTGCCTGGGGCTGGGGTGGGGAAGGTTGGCTGGTGATTGCTAATGGATGCTGGGTTTCTTCTGGGGTGAAGAAAGTGTTCGCAAATTGATTGTGGTGTCAGGTACATGACTGAATATTCTAAAAGTCACTAAATTGCGTAAGCTAAGTGGGTACATTGTATGCTAGGTGGATAGTATCTCAATAAAGCTGTTCTCACAGTTCGTGGGTTCAAGCCCCGGGTCGGGCTCTGTGCTGACAGTTAGCTCAGAGCCTTGAGCCTGTTTCAGATTCTGTGTCTCCCTCTCTCTCTGACCCTCCCCTGCTCACACACACTCTCTCTCTCTCTCTCAGAAATAAATAAAACATTTAAAAAAGTTTTGTTTTTTTTTTTAATAAAAATAAACAAGAGAGTGAGAGGGAAAGTACTAACCCGAGGCCACACAACCACCAGTGGCCACCTTGGGGTCCCGGCTCCCAGCCAGCCTCCTCGCACTCCTGCTGTCTTTAAGGGGGCCAGTAGGGCCTCTCAGGCTGCTTCTGAAATGAGTGGGTGCTGAGTGCTGGGGGCTTCAGATCGTGCCCTCCTCCCCATGGCCCTCAGCCAGACCATCATTCTTTAACAAACAGGCAACCTCAAGATTTCATTTGGAGAAACGGGTCCGCTGTCAAAAGGAAAGAAAAGTAAAAGTTTGAAAGCCACTGACCAGAGAAAGTATCAAGGAGGGATGGAAAAGTGATTAAGAACCTAGCCACTGGCCTTGTAGGAAGCATGTGTTTTTATTCAGATGCTCTGATATTCTGGGGCCTTGCTGACCCTGGAGAAAGTACCCCTCCCAGGGACTAGCCAATTCCTGGAGGTAAAGGACTGTCCTGTGAGTGCCCTTTTCATATACAAACCAACTAATTTAGAACCCACATCATATCACCTTTTTAAAAAAAGTAATAATAATAATCTCTATACCCAACGTGGGGCTTGAACTTGCAACCCTGAGATCTTCACCAGCTGAGCCAGCCAGGCACCCTGATTGCCTTCTTGTTATCCTCAGCCACTATTCCCCTGCCCTGATCACCCCAGGGCCAGGTACCAGACAACGGGGGACAGCCCTCTGCCCCAGAGCCCACTGACATTATTGAAACGAGACAGTCTTGAACCTGCTTACCCCACCTCAGCCATGCTTCCTGCAGAAACCACATAAAAGGGTCCTGGCCATGTTTCCCCTCCTATATCCACCTTCTGGATATAGGTGTGCCCAGTGTGCCCCCTGCATGGCACGTCCCGTCCTCTTGGGAAACTCTCTTTTCTTTCTTTTTTAAAAATTTTTAATAGTTTATTCATTTTTAAGACAGAGACAGACAGAACATGAGTGGGGGAGGGGCAGAGAGAGAGGGAGACACAGAATCCGAAACAGGCTCCAGGCTCCAAGCTGTCAGCACAGAACCCAATGCGGGGCTTGAACCCACAGACCGTGAGATCATAACCTGAGCTAAAGTCGGACACTTAACCGACTGAGCCACCCAGGCGTGCCCCCTTTTTATCGAGGCATAACTGACATGTGCCATTATATTAGTTTCAGGGGCACAACACAATGATTCAATATTTGTGTATATGTAAAACGATCACCACAGTAAGTCTAGCTAACATCTGTCACCATGCATTATTACAAAAAAAAGTTTTTTTACTTGTGTTAAAGACTTTTGAGATCTACTCTCAGCAATTTTCAGACATCCAGAACCATACTGTTAACTGCAGTCACCATGTTGTACACATACTATCTTTCCAAGGACAGTTATCTCCCGATCTGGTGGCCTCGCCGTACAAATAAAGTCTACATTCTAAATTTTTTTTATGTTTATTTATTTTTGAGAGAGATAGGGCGTGAGCAGGGGAGGGGCAGAGAGAGAGGGAGATACAGAATCTGAAGCAGGCGCCACACTCTGAGCTGTCAGCACAGAGCCTGACACGGGGCTCGAACCCACGAGGTATGAGATCATGACCTGAGCCGAAGTCGGCCGCCCAACCGACTGAGCCCCCCAGGCCCCCCATGGTCTACATTCTAAAGCAGGCCTCATCTGCTCTATGTTT